GAAACATCAGCCTTCCTGCTCCTCTGATGCTGCTGGGCCTGCTGTGTTCATCCAGCTCTACACCTTGTTATCTCAGATTCTCCAGCATCTGCAGTTCCTACTATCTCTGAAACTATTAATCCTAGTTACTCGAATAACAACATATCAGTCATGTACATTTGGATTGGTCAGGGTGTTGAGAATTGCACATTGGGTTGGCAATCTCAATGACACTTTTCTCGATGAGAAAGCTGCAATGGATGGATTCTTTTTGTGTGCTAAGAACAGTGTCCTTTGTGTTAATATATGTCACTTCTGTATTTGCATATGCAAATGCATCACACTATTAAACAGGCATATAGGCTGGGGGCTAGATCAAATGAGAAACAGTGGCAGACAAATGTGGAGATATTTCAGAATACACAGAATAAGTATATTCTTATTATAAAGAAGACTGTAAAGGGAGGACCCACCATTGTGGTTAACAGAGAAGTTAACGAAAGCATCAAGCGTAAGGCAAAAGTATATGACTGTGCAATGATGAGTGACAGGTAATATTATTGGTCAGAACACAAAAAGATTGGCAGAGAATGAATGAATCAGGAGGAAGAAGTTAGAATCCCACAAAAAAGCTAGCGAGAGCTTCCACAAGTGCCTAAAAAGCAAATGAGTGAGTAAAGTGACTGCTGAAGAAGAGTCATATCAGACTCAAATTGTTAACTCTCTGCCCAGAGCTGCTGCCTGACTTAAATAAAAACCGAAAGAACTGTGGATGCTGTAAATCGGAAACAAAGACAGAAATTGCTGGAAAAGCTCAGCTGGTCTGGCAGCATCTGTGGAGAGAAACCAGAGTTAACATTTCATGTCCAGTGACCCTTCCTCAGAACCTGCTGAGTTTCTCCAACAATTTCCATTTTTACTGGAAAAGCTCAGTAGGTCTAGCAGCATTAGTGAAGAAAAAATTGGAGATAACGTTTCGGGTCCGGCGACCCTTCCTCAGAACACAGTTCTGAAGGGTCACCAGACCCAAAACATTAACTCTGATTTTTCTTCACCGATGCTGCCAGACATACTGAACTTTTCCAGCAACTTTGTTTTTGCTCCTGATTAAATTAGGGGTGGCACAGTGGTTAGGCCTCACAGTGCCAAGGACCCGGGTTCCATTCCAACCTTGGGTGACTGTCTGTGCGGAGTTTACACATTCTCCCTGTGCCTGTGTGGGCTTCCTCTGGGTGTTTCAGTTTCCTCCGACAGTCCAAAAATGTGCAGGCCAGGTGGATTGGCCATGCTAAAATGCTTGTGGTGTTCAGGGATGTGTAGATTGGGTGGGTTGTGGGGGATGGGTTTGGGTGGGATGCTCTGTAGGTTGGTGTGGACTTGTTGGGCTGAAGGGCTTGTTTCAACGCTGTAGGGATTCTATGAATCTTCTATAAATAGCATCCACAGTTCTTTCAGTTTTAATTTCCATTTTTATTTCAGAGTTCAAGCTTCTTCATTATTTTGCTTTCAGTTAAGTAATATTAGCTTTGATCATCTAGAGAATGGAGAGTTAATAATACATGATAAGGAAATGAACAAATTGATTGCTTGTCTTTGCTACAGAAGTTACCAAAAATCCCAATAATAGCTCTAAATCAGGAATTTGAAGGGAGAAAGGAACTTAATGAAATTACTATCACCAGGGAAGTGGTACTAAGCAAACTGATGAAGGGTGTGGGCTGACAAGTCTCTGGGTCCAGAAGAACTTCATTTTAGGGTCTTAAACAAAATTGCTAATGAGATAGTAGATGCGATGGTGACAATTTTCCAAAATTCCCTTAATTCAGGAAAGGCTCAATTCAACTAGAAAGTAGAAAATATCTATTCAAGAAGGGAGGGAGGCAGATTGGACTTGAAACATTGACTGTGTCTCTCTTCAAAGACGCTGCCAAATTTGTTGAGTTTCTCCAGCATTTTGTTTTTATTGCTGGAGGCTCATTTACAATTTCTGGGAACTCCAGACTAATCTTGGCGAGTTGACAGGCCTTATGAATGGGTGAGTCGAATTTAGTGGACGGGAGCAGTAAGAAGGACACTGCTGCAGGACAGTACACAACTGTTTACCCGAATGGCCTCGCCCCCGTGGTTTGAGACCTGCGTAGGGGCGGGGTCTAGGGTCATCGGGTAATCGCGCCTGCGCTGAGGGGCATTGGCCGTCAGAGCGACGGCTTCTGCGCCTGCGCTGTCAGCCTCTGGCCATCGATGCGATGGCAACCGCGCCTGCGTGATTGGCAGCGAACGTGGACGCCATGAGTTCGGCGCTGGAGAAGCCGCAGATCATCGCCCACATCCAGAAATCACTCAACTACACCTTGTTCGATTGCAAATGGATCCCCTGCAGCGCCAAGTTCGTCTGCATGGGCAACTTTCCTCGCGGCACCGGCGTGCTGCAGGTCTACGAGGTGTCGCACGGGGAGCTGGTGCTGGTCAAGGAGGTCGGTGGTCAGTCAGGAAAGGCCCAGGCCTCGGGCTTAAGCTCTTGTTGCCTCGTTACCGGCCCGGGGTTGCTATGGTGACGGGGGCAACTCTGCAGGCGCGACATTGCTTGCTAACTACTTTTTAACACCACATATGAGAAGGTGCATTTGTTGCGTTGCTTTTGGTCTAAATTGGTCGTAATCTAATGCTCTATTTCTGTCTCCAACCTCTTTTTAACATTCATGTTTAAATACATAATGAACGCGATGGGCTGAATGGCCTCTTGTGGAGTTTCTGTCCGATTATGTTGTATTTACAACAAGGACAGTGGTCATTCAGCCCATCCAGAGCGTACTGATGTTTATACTCTGCAGTTACTTCCTCCTGCTTCTCTTTGATTCTGCCCATCATTTCCTTGCATCACTCCGTCCTTGGTGTCGGTTGTGGCTTAGTAGGTAGTAGTCCCACCTCTGAATTGCCCCACTCTACAACTTATACACACAAATCAAAGTTGACGTTCCAGTGCAGTGCTGTGGGGGGCTGCCTTTCACATGAGACATCAAACTGGTTTCTGAAGAAGGGTCCAGACCCGAAACGTCAGCCTTCCTGCTCCTCTGATGCTGCTTGGCCTGCTGTGTTCATCCAGCTCTACACCCTGTTATCTCAGATGCTCTGCCTGCTTGTTTGGGTGGATGCAAAAGATCCCACAACACCATTTTGAAGATATTTATCTAAGATTACGAAGACATCTTGATCAACTGGATTACTAGAATGAAGAGTGGTGAATGGAATTTAATTTCGATAATATGATGTATTGCATTTTGGTAAAACAAACAAAGGCAGGAATTATACAATTAGAAGTAGGGCCTTGGGTAGTGTTGTAGAACAGAGAAACATTGGGGTTAACATACATATAGATAGGGTGGTTATGGAGGTGCTTAGTGTACTTGCCTTCGTTGCTGCAACCTTTGAGTATGGGAGTTGGGATGTTATGTTGAGGTTGCACAGGATGTTGATGAGGTCTCTTCTGGAGTACTGTGTTCAGTTCTGGTCTCCCTGTTTGTAAGAGGGAGAGGGTTCTGAATAAATTTACCAGGCTGTTTCTGGGAATGGAGGGTTTAAGTTATAAGGAGAGGCTGGATAAGCTGTACCTTTTTTTCACTGGAGCTTAGGAGTTTGAAAGGTGACCTTATAGAGGTTTCTCAAATCATGAGGGGTATAGATAATGTGAATGGCAGGTGTCTTTCACCCTCTAGGTTGGAGGATTTCAAGACTAGGGGACATATCCTTAAGGGGAGAGGAGAAAGATTTTTTAAAAAGACATAAGGGGCAATTATTTTTTACACGGACTGTCATTCGTGTGTGGAATGAACTTCCAGAGGAAGTGTTAGATGCGGGTACAGCTACAATGTTTAAAAGGCATTTAGTTAAGTACATGATTAAGAAATGGTTGAAAGGATATGGGCCAAGCACAGGCAGGTGGTACTGCTTTAGTTTGGAATTATGGTCGGCATGGACTGTTTGGACTCTACAAGCAGAGGATTTTCCCTCACTGTCCAGGCCAACATTTATCCTTCAATCAACATCTCAAAATAAACTGAAACTGAAGATCTGGTCATCATCACAAATCTGATTGTGGAAGCTTGCTGATTGCTATTTGGCTTCACATGTTCTACGTTACAACAGTGTCTATCCATCAAAAAAAATTGACTGTAATTGACTGTAAAGTGTCTGGTGGTCAGGAAAAGAGTTATATAAATGCAAATTGTCTTCTCTTCTCATGTGTTTCTCTGGTTTTGCATACTCGAAAGGCTTTTCTGTTACAATCCCATGGTGAAAATTGCTGTTGATGTTCAGCTAACAGATAATAAAAGCAACAAAGACATCTGCATTTTGCAACATCAGTTGGTGTCAGCAATTGTATTCAGATGTCATTAGATTGCAAAAGAAATCATGCACAGTTAAAGGAGTCTCGTAGACAATCTCAGCACTCTCAAATCTGAATCTCCTTTCCACAGCTGCCATTGCTTGTCCTGTCATCTCACTGAGAGTCGTGATCCACACTTCGGAAAGTCCTGCTGTCGTTTCTCACCTGTATGATTTGGCTCAACCACTTGCTGTGGTAGTGCATTCCAAATTCCGATTGCTTTGGGTAAAGAAGTTTCCCCAGAGTGTGTATTGTATTTACTGGAGGGTATCATACTTGGGCCTCGACTGCTTTCTGGGGTAGAGCATTCCACAGGGTCACCACATTTTGAGTGAAGAAATTTTTCCTCGTCTTGGTCCAAACTGTTTTACTGTGCATCCTTAGACTGTGACCCTTGGTTCTGACTCCCCTGCCATCAGGGGAGTTTTTGTATCTACGCTGTCTACAGTGAATATACTTGCCATAGAGGCAAGGGATTGTTTTACAAAATGAGAGATTGTGGAGTCTGGGCTTTATTCTGTTGAATTTCAAAGAATGAGAGATGATCTCATTGAAATTTATATAATTCTGACAGGCTGAATGAGGATAAGATGTTTCTGAATAAGCTTGTGAGTCTAGGAACATAGTCTCAAATCAAAGGTTAGGAAATTTATGACTAGCTGAGGAGGGATTACTTCACTCAAGGTGGTGAATCTTTGAAATTCTGTTCTCCAAAACGCTATAGAAGTTCAGTCATTGAGTATGTTCAAGATGGAGATAGGAATAGCACAGGGAAGTGGCATTAAGGTAGAGGATCAGCCATGATTTAATTGAATGACAAACCAGCCTCAATGGGCTGAATGGCCTATTCCTTGTTGAAATTCTTGTAATTCAGAACTTAGCGCACTGCCTACTGATTTTCATAACTTGAAAATAAATATTTTTTCAGATTGAAAAATCAAAACCTTTTAAATGCGGCACCTTTGGAGCCACCTCTTTGCAACAGAGGTATCTGTCAACTGGGGACTTTGATGGAAACCTGCACATATGGTAAGTAGTCAAAACCTCGAAGCTACTGTTGTTCCTCCAGCTCCACACTGTATTGAAGTGAAGAGAAATCCTGTCTCTAAAGATCAGTAGTCCCTTCCTCAGAAGGCAGTGGAGATTGAGTCTTAGAAGTTATTCAAGACTGAGTTAGATTTTTGATCGACAAGGGAGTCGAGGATTGTTGTGAATAACAGGAATCATAACCAGATCAGTCATGATTTTATCGAATGGCAGAGCAAGTTCAAAGACCAAGTGGCCGCCTCCTTCTATGAGCTAAGTTCCAGTTTCCAATCAGGCAAAAATTGACACCAGTCTGAAAGAAAAATATCTGGAGAGGTGACCTGGTCAAAGAGAGTATTTTTGAAGGATTATCTTGGAGGAGGAATGAGGGGTGTAGAGGTTTAGGGAGGTATTTCTGGACCCAACGCCCAGGCAGCTGACGTCATGACTGCCAATGATGGAATTGAGAATGTGAGATTGACAAAAGATCAGATTTAGAAAACAGCATTCTTAAAGGGTTGTAGGGCTGAGGAGGTTACACAGTGCGGCACGGTGGCTCAGTGGTTAGCACTGCTGCCTCACAGCTCCAGGGACCCGTGTTCGATTCCACCCTCGGGCGACTGTCTGTGTGGAGTTTGCACATTCTCCCTGTGCCTGTGTGGATTTCCACTGGGTTTCCTCCCACAGTCCAACGATGTGCAGGTTAGGTGGATTGGTCGTGCTAAATTGCCCAGAGTGTCCAGGGATGTGTAAATTAGGTGGATTAGACATGGGAAGTGCAGGGTTACAGCAAAAGGCTAGGGAGGTGGGTCTGGGTGTCGTTCTCTTCAGAGGGGTGTTGGGCTGACATTTTATGGACTCTATGATGAGGCCCCTGTGTCATTTAAACATGAGTCTGAGAATGTTACTGTGGAGGCATAGCTGGATTGGGAGCCAGTACAGAGCAAGTATGAGGATGATGAAGCCACAGCACTTGTGCGAGATTGGATACAGGTGACAGTTTTGGAGAATAAATGCAGCGAAGCTATTTCTTTCAGATGGAGAATCCAAACAAGCAAGTATAATTTTAAAATTGGTGGCAGAGCATTTAGGAGTGACATTAGGGAGCACCTTTTTGCACAGAAGGTTGTGGAAATCTGAGGCCTTTTATTTACAAAACATTGTCATTGTTGGATCAGTTGAAATGTTCAAGGACAAGACAGATGGATTGATCAGGTAAGGCTATTTATGGGTATGACTCAAAGGCACGTTATTGGAATAGAGTTATTGATTAGTTATGACCTGCTAGAAGAGATTTGAGTAACTGAACTACTCCTGTTCCTATATTCCTGACTACCATATTTTTTTACCCAGTTTTAGCATTAAACACACTCAACCTGATAATTTGCAGGAGCACTGCACCAGAGATAGACGATAAATACTTGCCTAGCCAGTGACAACCACATTGCATGCTCGATCGATTGAAAGAAAGCAGCACATATCTTTGATGGTGTAGAACCTGCAGACTTGTATTTCCTTTCCTGGAATGGAAGCACAGAACTGAATTGAACAAGATAAATCCATTGAGATCATTACACATGCCAGGAGCCTGGGCTAACTGGTGCTACTTGTGATACCTTAACATAATTTGCTAAATACCTTTCTGTACCCAGCAACACTTGTAGTGCAGGTTATCTTTAAACCAGTCAGAGATAGTAAGAGCTGCCAATGCTGGAGTCAGAGATAACACAGCGTGGAGTTGGAAGAGTACAGCAGGCCTGGCAGCATCAGAGGAGCAGGAAATTTGACGTTTTGGCTCGGGACCAAAGAAGGGTCCTGACCTGAAACATCAAATTTCCTGCTTCTCTGATGCTGCCTGGCCTGTTGTACTCCTCCAGCTCCACACTGTTATCTTTAAACCAGTAATGTTTTGTTTATTTTTTTAGGCTGGCTGATATTTGGCATTTGTACTTCTGCTTCTTAGACGGAATGCATCACAAGCATTTGTACCATGAGCTTTAAATAGAGAAGAAAATATTTATCTGTTGGCTGTCTGTGCGTAGTTTTCTTCAACCACAGGTTGATTAAACAGCTCGACTGATAACCTGCAGAAAACCAGTTTCAAAGAAATGGGTACATCAGCAGTTTACTACCATGGTGTGCCAAAACTCTGAGAGGAACCTGCTTTTTAATCACTTCACTCCAAATCAATACCCTATTCCATGACTTAATATACTACTCTATGACCTTTGTCTGGAATTTCAATGTTACCTAACCTCATGGTGCAACTTAAAAAGAAAAGTTGTCTAGCAACTTTTACACTGCTTACATTTCCAGTCGCTTTTGAAATTGCATGGTGTCTCCTTATTTTTTATCATTAAGTTTGGATAGCTAGAGTTGCTTTCCTTGGAGCAGTGAAGTTTGAGAGTGGACCTGATAGAGGGGCATAGAAAAGGTGGATTGCAAGGCATTTTTCTACTAGTAGATGATTCAATAACTGGGGGTGAAGATTTAAACTAAGAAGTGGAAGGCTAAGAGGAGAGTTGAGTAAGTTTTACATCCAGAGGATGGTAGGAGTCTGCCTGTCACTGCTTGAAAGCATGGTGAGTTAAAACTTTTTGTAACAATTTAAGCAGTATTTAGATGTTCACTTGCATTTCCATTGCCTCAGATCTTTATTGACTATCATCTGTGCTGTAAATGTCTGAGTCTATGTTGCCAGTAGCTTCAATGTCCTTGCACTCTCTGCCAGATTTATTTGCCAGGGGTCTCATGAGTTTTTCTCCCCTTTCTCATTTTCTTTACCCAGGAATCTGGAGGCTCCGGAAATGGCCGTTTATTCGGTAAAAGCGCACAAGGAGATTATAAATAGCATTGATGGTGTAGGAGGCTTGGGAATTGGGGAAGGAGCTCCGGAATTGGTTACTGGCAGCAGAGATGGTAAATTTTGTATAAATTATTCTTCTTTTGTGACCATCACCTGCCTTTTTCTCTTGAGATGCTGCAATGATTAAATCTGTTGAAATGTCTATTTCAATGCTAGACCATGAAAATTTCTCCAGTGGTGTGAGCAGCTAGAACTTTTCTAATTGATATTGTAGAATCATTAGGTATGTATGCTGTATGTATTGTAAAACAGTACGAATGCAGACAAGCCATTAGGTCATTAATCTTCTAGTTGGTGTATTTTGGCTTCCTTACCTGCTTTATTATAAACCTTATTTAAAATTTGTTTGTGAGACATGGGTTTCTCTGGCTCGACCATCCTTTACTGTTAACCCCTATTGGCCTGGAGGAAGTGGTAGTGAGATGCCTTCATGAACCACTATCTTCCCGTGTTGGATAGCCCCACCCACAGTACTGTTAGGAAGGGAGTTTCTGGATTTTAACATAGCGACACTAAGGAATGGCGATATAATTCCAAATCAGGATGGTGAGAGGCTTGGAGGTGGTGGTGTTCCCATGTATCTGCTACACTAGGTGGTAGTGGTCATGGTTTTGGAAGGTGCTGCCAAAGGAATCTGGGTGAGTGAATGCACTGATTGTTGTAATTGTGCATTTCTGCTGGAGTATTTTGAATTTTCCATCAGGGACATGCTGCTGCCAAGCACACAACTCCCAACAAACCACCTGAAAAGATGCAACTCCTAGCACTTGCGAGAAATTTGGCTGGCACGGTGCTCAGTGGTTAGCACTGCTGCCTCACAGCGCCAGGGACTCACATTTGATTCCAGCCTCAGGTGACTGTGGATTTTGCACATTCTCCCGTGTCTGCGTGAGTTTCCTCTGGATGCTCTGGTTTCCTCCCACAGTCCAAAGATATGCAAGTTATGTAGATTGCCATGCTAAATCGCCCATGGTGTCCAGGGATGTGCAGGCAAGGTGAATTAGCCATGGGGAAGTGCGGGAATAGGGTAGGAGGATGGGTCTGGATGGGATGCTCCTTGGAGAGGGTGGTGTGTACTTGATGGGCTGAATGGTCTGCTTGCACACTTTTGGGATTCTGTAATTCTGTGAACCTACTTGAAATAAATGTGATCGGTTTTTTTTTTGCACAATACCTGAGGTGGTTGTTAGCATACTTTTCAGACAACAAAATCAAAGGTGCGAATATAAGTGAGAAATGAATTAAGTTGGATTTGTCCTATTGAAAGCTTCTGCCATTCTAAAGGTCTGATATATTGCCAGGTATTCACTGTAAATTATGTTGAATTTTTGTCTGCAAGTATTACCTCATGCAAATGTGATCATATAGATTGTGTTTTCGAAAGGAATGGTGAAAGTCTGGGACCCCAGGCAAAAAGACACTCCTGTGGCAAACATGCAGCCTGCAGATGGAGATACCAGGCGGGATTGTTGGACTGTGGCATTTGGTATGTCCTAAATATAGTTTTTGTATTGAAATCATCTGTAATGTTTAATAACTTCACAAGCAAACAGAATAACCAAATGTATCAATATTTTACAACTATATTCTTTCTATTAAAAAAATGCTTTGTATGGGGGTCAAACGTGACCATAATGGGCATAATGAATGTAAAAATGTTTGTTTCTGAATATGACTAAATTAAGCAGACTTCCACTTCAGAGTTTGACGATACATTTGGTTTTGACTGTGTATAGTGGATGTTGTATTTATTCTCTCTGCTTCACTTAAATTTCAGGCACCTGGAACAAAAAAAAGTGCCATTTAGCCATATTAGAACTTTTTTTATTTCTATAAATTAAGTACAACTTGACAAATCATGGAAGGAAAACAGAAAGTTTTGGAGAAACTCAGCAAGTCTGGCAGCAACTGTGGAGAGAAAAACAGTTAACGTTTTGAGTTCATTGGCTCTTCAGAACTAAATGGGGCTGGAAGATGATGCTTTTTGTGCAGTTGACAAAGTGGGAGGGGGAATGAGTGGAACAGTTGGTGAGGGTGCACAGAGCAAAAGACAAAGGAAGTGCTCATAATAATAAAAGAAATCTAGATGCAAAATAGGTGTTAATGATAGATCTAAGTATTCAAAAATAGGTTGACTTTGAGACAAAGCCATTGAAAAGATAAAATTCTGGGAAGACTCAGCAGGTCTGGCAGTATCTGTGAATAAGAGTCATATCAGACTCAAAATGTTAACTCCGTTTTCTCTCCACGGATGCTGCCAGACCTGCTAAGTTAATCCAGATTTTCTCTTTTCATAGTTCAGTACTCGTATTTTCCTTTTGTTTTTTGCAAACCAGACACGTGGGGAAGAGGGATTGTAATCAGAATTCATGTTCTGAAGTTATTAAACTCGGTGTTTTGTCCTGAAGGCTGTAAGGTATCTTACATTGGGTTTTGCTGGGACACTGCACCCAGCCTGGGGCAGAAACGTTAACACAAGAGTAAGATGGTATATTGGCAAGCAGCTGGAAGGTCGGGATCGTTCTTATAGACAAAGTGGAGGTGTTCTGCAACACAGTTGTCTTGCCTGCATTTGATCCCTGCAATGTAGAGGAAAACTATACTGCCAGCCGTAGACTAGATTGAAAGGAATGCAAACAAAATGCTGTTTTGTCTGGAAGACGTGCCTGGGGTCTTGGACAGTGAGGAGGAAGGAAGTAAAGGGCAAGTGTTGCACCTATGATTCCGTGGGAACTGACATGAAGGAGAGAGGAAGTGTTAGGAGTGACAGAGGAGTGGTCTAGCAGGTCACAGACAGAATGCTGACAAGGTAGAGGAGGGAAGGATATATTTGGTGTAGCATCCTGCTGGAGGTAGAACAAGATGATCCTTTGAATGTGGAGAATGGTGGGATGGAATGTGAAGACAAAAGGATCCTACCACTGTCTTGGGTGGGAGGGGAAGGGATGAGGGCTCTGTCTATTGTGGTGGGAGAGGATGAATCCTTGGTTGAGGCAAAAGGAGGACATTTTGGAAACACTACTGTGGAAGGTGGTATCAACAAAACGTAGGTGGAGGTACTGGGGGAACGGAGTCCTTACAGGCTTCAGGGTGTGTGAGGAAGTGGCGTTAACATAACTGTGGGAGTCATTGAGTTTGTTGTGGATATCATTCTCCCTAGAAATGGAAAAGGTGACCTCCAAAGAAGGGAAGGGAAGGGAAGATTCGGAGAGAGATTAGGTGAGGGTGTGAAGAGGATTGTAATTGATGACATTTTTAGATTTGGGATGAGAGCAGGAAGTAGCTCTGATAGTGTCATTGATATGCAGGAGAAAGAGTTGTGGGAGGGGCCTAAGTAAGACTGGAACAAGAATATTCCACATACCTCACAAAGAAGGAGCATATAGCTGGGACCCACACATGTGCTCCCAATCACACCTCTGACTTGGAGAAAATGGGACAAGGTAAAGGAGAGATTGTTCAAAGTGGGCAGGAGCTGAGCCAGGTGGAGAGTGTTGAGATGGATGGTGACTGTTCAGGCATCCATTCAGGAGGAAACTGACAACCTACAGACCATGGTGGAAATGTAGAGGTTTTACATGCCTGTGGTGAAGAGGTGGTAGCTGGGGCCAGGAAAGTGGGAGTTTATAGAACCGATGTGCAATGTCAGCAGAATCACAAATATAAGTGGAAAGAAACCGGAAACTGTTAACTCTGTTTCTCTCTTCACGGATGCTTCCAGATCTGCTGAGTTTCTCCAGCATTTTGTTTTCATTTCAGATCTCAACATCTGCAATATTTGGCATTTATTTGTCAAATCATGGGTTTAACTCAACTCAATCTGCATGCAAAAGTCTAGAGCATCTATTCTGTTTGAGGTTTATTTTTATTCTGAGAGGTTGAGAGGGAAATCACATTAGTTGTCTTGTTTTTTTTAACCTAAACACATTCACATGGTGGTGCCTATGTGGATAGGTCATGCCTACAGCTCCCAGGAGCGCTGTGTGTGTGCTGGATATGACAATGGTGATATCAAGCTATTTGATCTGAGAACTATGTCGCTCCGCTGGGAAAAGAACATAAGGAACGGGGTAAGAAACAAAACTAGATTTTAAACCAGATATAAGACCCCAAATGTCCCCTGCTGGTGGCGAGGAAAATGGGAGTACTTGGCAAAATGCAAAGGCAGTGACACAATTGCAGTCAGACTTGAATCAAGTACGGGTATTTCCACTATAACGCGTGTTTCGTTAACACAAAATGGCTGTAACACAATTGATGAATAGTGGATGCAGTTTGGATAGCACAAACTTTCTACTGTACAGTATAGTGATTTTCCCATAGCGCGAGGTTGCACAAGAACGCAACTATTGTGTTATAGGAGAACTACCTGTATTCCATAGTAACCACTTTTCAAAATAAATTTTCTGCCTTTGTTTGTTTTCTGTTCCTTTAGCTTTTCTGCCTGTTATTTCTTTTCTCATCTTGCTGTCAATTGGTGTGTGTCTATTAGGGAAGCTATTCACGAACCAGTAAGAAGTGTATTTTTGCCTTGTCTTTCTCCTCAATGGTAAATAGTACTCCGGGAGACACTGCGAGTTTGGTTTCTCTCCCTCACTGTCTTCTTTGTACCCTTGCTCCAACAATCAAGTTAACACGTGGGGAAGTTGTTTTTGTGCCTGCCTAGCACTGCTGTCTCACAGCGCCAGGGACCCGTGTTCGATCCCACCCTTGAGCAACTGTCTGTGTGGAGTTTGCACATTCTTCCCGTGTCTGCGTGGGTTTCCTCCGGGTGCTCCAGTTTCCTCCCACAGTCCAAAGATGTGCAGGCTAGGTGGAGTGGCCATGCTAAATTGCCCGTGTTGTTCAGGGATGTGTAGATTAGGTGGGTTATGGGGGATGGGTCTGGGTGGGATGCCCTGAGCGTCGGTGTGGACTGTGTGCCGAAGGGCCTGTTTCCACACTGTAGGGATTCTATGATCTATGTCTGGAAAGGAGTTTTAAGAGAGCTTTTGGTCATGTCACGAAGACCCTTGTCTTCATTGTTTACTGGATGCTGTGCGCCACCTGTCCCCAGGGACGTTGATTTGGTGGCCAGAGAGAAAAGTGGGAAGGTCAGACTGAAGCAAGCTGGCACCACTGCCTGACATACTGTCGGGAGGTTTTCATGGGGGAAGACTGCCAGTCTATCCGCCTGACAGGTACTGGCAGTCAGTGAAGGTATCTAAAAGGGCACTTCCTCTTAATCGTGTTCAGCAGCACCTTCCTGAAGAAGGTGTGTGATCCATATGCTGTTTCAGAAGCTAGTAACGCAGTGTAGCTTGGCTTTATGGTGGGCTGTGCAGTGGGGGAGACACGGGAAGCTGTTTTCTGCTCTGATGTGAGTTCACTCTGAGGAGCCCTTGCCATTTCCATTAGGCTCCGTGGTGTCGCCTCTCCCAACAGCCATCGAGATCCCAGGGCCTCTCCCACATCCATCTCCTTCCCCTCGTCCTCAGTTGGGTGGCTTTTGTGGAAGTAGGACCCCGTTGCAGGATGCACATCCAACACGAGCAGGTCAGCTCCCACAGATGGCGCCCCATGCCTGAAAACGTTCAGGTGGAGGGTTCGCCCTGGCCTCACCCCCGCAAACAAAAACAATTTCAGCTCAGACATTAGTCTTCTGATTCTCATTCAGGGGAATGTATTTCTAATTGCAACAAAAAAATGTTGGAAATATTCAGTAGGTCAGGCAGTATCTATGGATGGAACAGAATTGATTGTGTAGACCTGAACTCTGTTCTGTCTACAGGAACAATATGCTATTTTGTAAACTACTGCTTGCTTTTTTTCTGTTCAAGTATGTCCACTTGGTTTAAATGACTCTCAAGTGAAGGCAGGTAGACAGGTTATGACAGTGGATAGCCTTCTGCATTTAGAGTGTGTACCGTTGGTTTTAACCACAATACCAAATACTCCTGGCTTTATTTTACATTATTACCATTACCTTGGAGCCAAACATCAAAGAATCTTTCAAACGTTTGCCAAGAAAAGAACAGTAGCATTTCTCGTAAATTCTAAATGTGCATTCTCCCCTCATTCATTGTGGTAAAACTGAGTCATGTGTAAATCCTTTTACTTTTGACCTTAAAATGTCCTTTTGACAGATAACTATGTTACATTTGGGACCATCCCTTTCTTTGCAGGTCTGTTGTGTTGAGTTTGACAGGAAAGATATCAACATGAATAAGCTGGTGGCTACTTCCTTGGAGGGAAAATTTCATGTGTTTGACATGAGGACCCAGCACCCAACCAAAGGTTTTGCTTCAGTCAGTGAGAAGGTATTTAATTTTGAGAAAGCAGAATTATTTTGGTTTCTAAGGGTGGATACAGAATGGTGTATCTTAGCTGAAATCTAAAGGACCTGGATTTTTTGCCTCCTTGATAACCAATTTCACAGGTTGCTGTGGTACTGTCCACTCAAACATCGTTATAGAATGGCTGTATCATAAAAGGAGGCCATTTGGCCCATTGTATCTATGTCTGACTCAGAGTGGGTAACTCAGTCCCACTCTTCTGCCTTTCCCTGTAACCTAACAAATCACTTGCTCTTCAGGTAAATCTTTGATGCCCTTATGGAAGGCACAATTAACCAGCTTCAACTGCACTGTCAGTGGTTTCCAGATCATAACCACACCCCACCAACAGCCTTCATAACAGAAGCCAACTTGGAATCTGTTCCCTGCTGGGAGCATTAGTTTGTAAAATCACCCAGTCAGCACAGTCCTTGAAGTATATCAGATTTCCAGCTGTGATTATAGTATAAAAGTATGCTGCAGTATATTCCAATTTATTCATGGTAACCATAAAGTAAACATTATTTCAAATAACAGATACCAGGTACATCTCAGTTAATGGAGAAACAAAAATCTTGCTCAAAAGGTCCATGCGTAAATGATCCAGGGAAATTCTCAACTATGTGCAACTAAAACCTAACACAGCTTTGTTAATTGGAAAATGAAAAATAACATTTCAGACTGTGGCGTTCATTCTGTTTCTCTGCCTCCAGGTAATCAGTACATAACTTCTGGATTTTTATTTTTTCTTCAGTGAGCATTTGGAGTTTATATTCTGCTTAGGTTTCTGATTTCAGAACCAAGTGAGTTGGGCACAAATTGGACATGAAAGGCCAAAGAACATAGGAGTGAAGGGCATGTGAAGGCCAAACAATTCAGTGCTAGAGATTTTGTAACTTGCATTCTATTTCAGGCTCAGCCAGTGATCATTGATTGTCCCCAGCCCAATAGCCAGATAGATTTGGGGACATGAAGTAGGTTTTTAGACCTCTGAGTAGAGATTGCTAAACAAATGTTTGCTGCATTGAGAGCAGCTCAGTCGGTGTGGTTGCTGGATAAGCTGTTGACGCGTGAATGGGATTTTGTGCAAATAAGAACAGGATGCGGCAGAGTTTTCATTGAGCTTCAGTTTTCAGAGGTCAGCTGGAATAAAAGGTACAGTCGCCATGGTCTCAGAAGGACTGTAGGACTGCTCTCCCTCATCTCAGCAGAGGGCAGAGGTGGAGAAGGTGGGATCTTCATGGTAACCTCAGCTGGTAGGGGAAATGAGCCCATGTTATTGGCATCACTCTGCATCGCTAACCAGCCGTACAGCCAACAGAGCTTACTGACAATCCCTCCCCACACTGTTGCGTGCCCAAGAGAAACCGAGGCATTGGTTGAGTTTTCAATAGTTGGTGGTTGTGTACGTGGTGAGAATAAGAAGAAGCCAATTGCTGGGAAGATGAGGAGCTGTTCAATGCCGGGAGTGAAACTGGGGCTCAGGCCGTGGACAGAACCTGTTTCTAATCCATCCTGGGATGTATTGCCGGTTAGGCCAGCATTTGTTACCCATCGCCACTACCCTGGAGAAGGTGGTGGTGAGCTATCTTCTTGCAGTCTTTAGGGACACACACAGTGCTGCACCTGATACTGTGCAAGAACAAGCTGCTGTTACTAGTCATTGTAAAAGCATCAAGCAAGAGATAAGTGTGTGTTTATGAAGTTTGTAATGAGTGGAGAAAGGCGTGAGACAGAGGGGGCATATTCAGAGTTCCAGTGATGGGATAGAAGGATCCTTCAGCTATGATTGTTCAGAGATACTGTGAAAGGAAAGGCTGTATTATCCTTTCTTCTCTGGAGCCCAGTCTTTAAGAGGAGATAATGATGCTCCTAGAACTGCTGCTGTCCCACACACCCACCCAGCTATTTGTCCTGAGCTTTGGCCAGCAACTGAAGGACATGGATTTTAAGATAATTGATACAAAAAAATCCCGAGGAATATATTAGACAAGTATTTTATTAAGCTACAAGCTGTTATCACCTGGAATGTGCAGCCTAAAAAGGCAGTGGAAGTAGTTTAAATCATTGTTATCAAAAGGGAATTGGACAGATAGTGGAAAATGAGAATATTTGCAGGGCTGTGGGGGAGACAGAATACAGAGGTGGGGAAAATTTGATAACACTTTAAAAAATTTGGTGCAGACAATGACCTTGCACTGTGCTGTGGAAGTTTATATGCAAATGCAGCTCTCCTTCTTTCCCCCTTTAAGAAGAGGTTGTATTTATGCTTTCAGTAAACTTCCAAATAACCTCGAACTCTTGCCCTAAAATTGGACTCGAGAGTTAAAGTTGAATGGACCTCATATTAATGTCTTCGGGCGGGTTTCGTGGTCACCCAAGCTATCCAGTCCAAATTAAAACTCACCCTGTGAATCTTCTGCAGTCACTCCGTCTGTGTCCAGTGTAACTGTCCACTGTGGTGAAATAGAAGGCTGTTGCAGAGAAAGTATTTGGATACTACTCTGACTGAAGTCTATGAACCACATCTCTGGTTGTTGTCATTGATAGCCAGGGTGGGTGGTTTTGTTGCTTTGTGTCTCCTCTCCTCCTCCTCTGCCCTTCAGTTGTTTCTATATATGAACATGGTTTATGTGTATGTCTCCTGTGTTTCCCAGGCATATAAATCCACCATCTGGCAGGCCCGCCACTTGCCGCAAAACAGAGACATCTTCATGACAGCAGGAGGTTCTGGTAATCTGCACCTTTGGAAATAGTAAGTAACCTCCTTCTCACAGTAGCATGTTTTAAATACACATGAAATACCAGTTTTGTGACCGTCGATGATGGGTAATGATTGAACAATTAGGCATTGGCAAGTTTGAGTCGAGATCAGGCAGCAAGCTGATTTCCGTCTGACGTATATTATGGGGACACCAGTTTTGCAGAAGACGATAAATGTAAATTTTTTTTTAACTCAGTGATGGCATCTAGGTGTTTCTAGCTGGGCCATCATTTATTGTTGTTTATAGTTGCTCCTGAGAAACGGCTGGTGAGCTGCCTTCTTGATCTGTGTTGCTCATTTGGTGCAGGTACAACCACACAGTGCTGGTAGGGAGGGAGTTCCAAGATTGTGACACTGAAGGAACAGCGATATATTTCTCAGTGTGTGGCTTCGAGGGGAGCTTGCAAGTGTTCTTGTGTATCTGCTACACTCGTCCTGTAAGGTGATAGAGGTTACGGGATTGTCAAAAAGGAAAAGACTGATTTTCTAGTTTTTTTTTAATATTTGAGGTCAGATCTAAATGCTGATTTCTGTCTCCCCTGAACTACCACGCCAGTACAGTCGAGCCTTTGGAACCTAACTGACTGAAAAAACCTGAACCCAGTTGAATTTCTGGATTCCGATATCTTGTATGAGCTAATTTTGACCCCAGCGGGACCACTGACTGTAACTGAATGTTATGCTGCTGTCTGGGTTCCTAGGTCTCTGGCTTGCTGCATTTTTTTTTAAAAAAAAACTAGTTGGCCTTAAACATTTGCTCCTGAAGTGCTGACTCTGTAATTCTGAAATGTGTGCATCCGGAGAGATGGCTGGAGGTGCCTTTTCTGATTCTGAAAGACCAGGGCATATTACAACGCGGCCCTCTTCTGATGTTTGTTACTAATAAAATTGCAGGAATGTGACTTGCACATTTGCGTAAATTGTGAAGTCCTCTGCCTCCACTTTGGCGGAAGAAGGTGTGGCCAGGATATCGAGGCCTGTTAAGAAGTATTTTGATTAACTTGTGTCTGTCTCCACCCCAGAAGCAGACACGTGAGGATGTTGGGCCCCTTCACCTGTACCATGCTCTTGCTCATTGTACATTTTAATGTTAAGATAACAGCATAAATCGCAAAAGCAAAGCTGAGTTCTGATGCATGTTGATATCTTGGGGCACTGTCTAATTTGTGATTTTGTACAAATGGATTTCCAGCAGTTTGTATTTTGAAATTGGGATGTAGATTGAGCGCAAGATTTGAGAGGGTTGGAAGTTACTTCTTGCTTTTATAACTCAGCATTGGAATTTACTCCCAGATTTGGATAACACAGCAGTAATTATTATTTATTTGTGGGTGGCTGAGAACTTCACCTTATTTATTGTTTCTTCAGTCTGGCTCATTGAGCTTTTTTTAAAACAGGGTGTTGTTATTTGACTCTGCAGTACCTGATGAGGATTGTTGACAAAAAGATCTTGTCCTAACTCTCAGATCAGAATCATGACCCTGTGGTGTGCAAGACAGAAGTTTATGAAGCACCGTTTGCAGAAATTCCACACTTTGGAAGAACATTTGAGGGATAGAGCAGAGGAGTGGCTCTCATTGTGAATAGCTCTTACATAGGGCTGGCACAAGTGGGGGCTGAATGGCCTTCTATCGACATTGTTCTGTGATCCCTTTATTGTGAGGGTGGAAGCTGAAAGACATGGTTGTCTGAAACTGACATGTCCCTCCATTTGTGTTTTCCAGTGAGTACCCTGCCCAGCGCTCTAAAAAAGACTCTGAGAACATGGATATGGGAGTCGCAGGTACAGTCACACTGCTCCAAAATGTGACTGTGTCCACCCAGCCCATAGGCAGCCTTGACTGGAGCCCAGATAAGCAGGGCCTCTGTGTCTGCACAGCATTTGACCAAACAGTGCGAGTTCTGATTGCCACAAAACTGAATCGAGTTTAAGAAATGGATCAAGGTATTATGTAAATAGCCAACTTTGATCAACAGCAGATTGTGTTCTTTGTACAATATAAAATGTCTCTGATGAATGTAATGAGAATTTGAAGATTAATATTTCTTTTGCTGAATAGACATGTTACTGAGTAATTTTTTAGCCTGCAGTCATCAGTACAAACACAAGAATGCCAAAGTTGAAATGATCACAGCAATTTCTACTACAGGAGGAATGGGTGCCAACTGGTTGGCAAGTCCAACCAGTCAGCAGCCTTTTCTCCTAAGAACAGACAAATCAGGAGCAGGAGTAAGCCATTTGGCTCCTCAAGATTGCTCATAGAATCCCTACAGTGTGGAAGCAGGCCATTCAGCCCATCGAGTTCACACTGATCCTCTGAAGAGCATCCCACCCAGACCCACCTTACCCCTATGACCCTGCTAACCCACCTAGCCTGCACATCCCTGGAAACTATGGGAAATTTAGCGTGGCCAATCCACCTAGCCTGCACATCTTCGGACTGTGGGAGGAAACCAGAGCACCCGGAGGAAACCCACACAGATGCGGGGAGAATGTGCAAACTCCACTCAGACCATTGCCAAGGGTGGAATCGAACCTGGGTTCTTGGCGCTGTAAGGCAGCAGTGCTAACCACTGAGCCACCGTGGCACCCTGTGCTCTACCAGATCATACTAAGATTATGCTTGATCTGTTGGTAGAATTAAATCCACATTCCTGGTTATCCCAATATAACCTTTTACCCCCATGCAGACGTTGATTAACATGAATATATCTCCCTCTGCATTAAAAATATTCTAGGACTCTGTCCTTTTTAAGAAGAGAGTTCCAAAGACTCATGACCCTCTGAGAGAAAACATTTCAGCTAGTCTCTGTTTAAGATGTGCGATCCTTGATTTTTAAATAGTGACCCCTAGTTCTAGATTCTCTCGTAGGCGGTAACATCCTCTCCACATTTACTGTGTCAAGAGTCCTCAGGATTATTTATGTTTCAGTCGAATCACTTCTCACTGTAACACATACAAACCTAGTCTGTTCAACCTTTCTTCGTGAGGTAACTCATCCATTCCAGATATTGGTCTAGTTAACCTTCTCTGAACTGTCTCCAATGCATTTACATTCATCCTTAAATAAGGTGATCAATACAGTGCACAATACACCAGATGCCATCTCACCTGTGCCCTATAAAACTGAGTGAAGCCTATAATATCAACTGTGATCAGTGAAATTTGGCATTCTTTGTCTGGATGGGTGCAAAACAAACAGCTTCATCAACGTGTCTCCTTTCAGCTAATCAAATTATCTCCTAGCAAACAGTCTTTTTATCAATATTTATTTTTTTAAAATCATTTGCAAAATAGCTGATTTTGTTTATTTTGCCCTCCCTTTGCAGTACATTCTGTGCTGAATATTCTCTCGCCTTTCAATGAGAGTGGTTTCGGTGCCCTGCGCCATCAGCCAACAGAGGTCTTTGTTAGGGTGGGTATTGTCCAATTGCTCATCTTTGAGAGAATATTATTCTTCTGATGGTGCTCCATCTAGTGGCTCGAATGAGGATTGCTCGACTGAAGTGTCAGTCTGATCGCTGTGTTCTGGTGATACAATGTTTGTGCTAAGTGACCACTGCAGACTTGTATTTTGAGTGTTTAAAATGTTTGGTTTATTAGGACAGTTCCAGCTTTATTTTCTGCTCATGGTTGCAAAATTTCCAATTAAGATAGAGTGTGAAGGATTTGCATTTTTTTTATTGTAACGTTATACATGAGATGTTAAACGTGTTCACATTCTACGGGCGCCCAGCTTGGTTGCTACATAGATGGGTGTTTGTGGAATCAGTGATTGGACTGTATCTGATTACACAGGAGTGTATGCTTCCATATATGAGTGAGAATGCCATACATATACGCACGTGCGCAAACACACACACGTGTGCATGCATGTGAGCTGCTCTCTTTCCATCACATTTCCAGCTCCTACTTTCCCCTTTTCCTGAAGCTCTCAAACCTGAAAATCTCACCTATTTCAGCCCTTTGGTTACAGGCTAATTCCTGTTTGATACAAAACCTTTACTTCCGGATTGGTGTGACAGTCACTGTGACGAGGTCGGCTTTTTCTTTCTCCACGTGTTAAATAATCTGTGTGCAAACAATTTCCCATTGTTTCTTCACTGTTTCAGGACAGGAACATAGTATCTAAATTCTGCCACGTCTTCACTTGGGGAAGTAAATTGTTCTTGGGTTATTATGATCTCCCATGGGGAGAGGTTGGTTCAAACCTTTTATTTTTAGCCACAGTTGTAAATAAAGTGAATCCAAAAAAACATTTCTGGCATTTCGCTTTAAAGTTGAGTTTTACTATTTGCTTAACATATTTTGCACATTAGCATGAGAAAGTGTTACTGATAATTTGTTACCTCTCAAATAAACTGTAAAAATGTAGTCAAACATTTTTTGGATTGTTTTCTATAGTAACACCTTGTTCTCTGTGAATTTGTGGGCCGACTGAATTTTTTACATGCATGTAAAAACTATCACTAAGATTATTGAAAAGAATTGCAATTATAAATAGTATCTTCCACATTTTCAAATATCCCAAAGCATTACACAGCAAGTGGAACACTTTCAAAATATGGTCACCATTGGTAACTAACTTGTGACCCACAAGCAGTAAATGAGATAAATGACCGATGTTATTGTCTTATGGTGATGTTTTAGCTGTGGATATTGAACAGAATTTCTTGCTGTGTTTTGAATAGTACCAAATCGTGTAAATGTTATCCCTGTAAGGGGACTGAAGTACAAAGAACCTCAGGCACAAATAGGATGGGTCCTAGCTTGGATACTCCCAGATGTACATAAAAGTAACCATGCTTTCTGAATAAAATCACACAGTCCACTAGTTTGAGTACTGGTAAAACTGATCTCATTTCTGAGCCTAAAACTGTTCTACCCACCAGAGATGGGAATTGAATAGTAAATGTCCAGCCCGTGGTAAACCTTACTAGCCTTTTGGAATTAATTGGAGAGATGGACAGGCTGGCTAATTCTCAATGCTGTTCTGCAGGACTGAAGACCTGGCTGTATTATCAAATCCACCAACAACTGTTCCCAATTTCTAGTTCTGGAGAATCATATCTTGTGACCTACAACTTCAAAATCCACTCCTCATAAATTCTCAATCTGTGAGGAAGCTTATAGCATTATTCTTAAATATAGAGTAAGTATGTTTTCCCTTGTTTGAATCCCGCTGCCTTTGCCCACGTTATAGATGTTTTTAATCATGTAGTTTTCTGTGAAATTATACAAGTGGTAGATTGATTTGCTTTTTTAATTTATTAGAATTGAGATGCGCTGCTTTTAAAACTTACACTTGAGAATCTAAGGTTGTTTTGGCAGATTTGGCTTAACATTTTATAGAAAATCACTGGATCAACCCTAACCTTGATCAGGACCCAGTTACGCCAGATGCCAGCCTTCCGACAAGTGTTTCTAGTCTGCAGTGATAAACTAATTTAGCACCAGAATCTTCCAGTGAGGGTGTACTTCTTAACACCTGTCAATGTGCATACCCTCTTGTCATGATGACGATTGTCAATGTGGACTTTTTAACTTTAATCTCATCCAGCTAACTCAAAAATCCTGGACTTGGACAGAAATCAGTTAAAACTCAGCTGGAACACTTTAAAATGGTCATCAAAGTCACCTGGCCTGAAAGTAAGAGATAGTAGGAACTGCAGATGCTGGAGAACCTGAGATAACAAGGTGTAGAACTGGATGAACACAGCAGGCCAAGCAGCATCAGAGGAGCAGGAAAGCTCTGAAGAAGGATCTAGGCCCGAAACGTCAGCTTTCCTGCTCCTCAGATGCTGCTTGGCCTGCTGTGTTCATCCAGCTGTACACCTTGACCTGAAAGTAACCAAGCTCAACAGGAGTTTTCAAAGGAATAACTATCCAAGTGTAATTATAGGGACATTAATATTCATCATCTTAGAATGCATAGTTCACAATGAGACCTTCATGTCTCTGGAGATGAGACTCCTGCACTGTAGTTATTGCCAGAAAGAAGGACTACCCTCCAAAACTCATTTTGAAAAGAGGAGGACTGATCCCTGCACCAGTCCCAGCTATATCAAAGGATAACAGGAATTCTGACAATTGCCTGTCAAAATTTGGTTAAAAATGAATCGTCCCCATTGTGGACCCAACAGCTAGTTTTCCCACATGAAAACACCTTCTGTGTAAAGCCATGATTATAGATATTTTCTAACCAACATTTTCAGCGATATTATTACAACCTCTGGAAGAAGTGGGACTTGAGCCCATGCCTCCTGGCTCAGAGGTAGGGACACCACCACCGCACCGCAAGGGTCCAAGCCATGGTTATAACTTGCAGTTTTGCTACAGACAGTAACATGGAGAACAACTTGCAGAATGTAATCTCATTTGAAATGGTGTGCATGGTTCTACAAAAATGATCAATGTTGAAACAGGATTGACTGCTCATCAAGATCTCTTAAAATGCAGAAATTTGCTCTGTACAACTACATGATTCCACCTCCTTTCACTTTGTACCTTACGTTTGCTTCCATGTTTACATGTATCGTATATTTGGGATTTTAATCATTTTAATAAGTTTGATACCTTTACAGTTGTTCGGTAACATGGAACTTGAGTATTGCTGAACAAGGCCATTTTGCCAAAGTTTTTTGTTTTAAACTCATTTGAACATTCACAAGATACCACTGTAAACACATTTCACTGATGAGAAGAGAATGCTTACTGATTGGCAAATGGACTTTGATCAGTATAGGCGTTATAACGAAGAATGCACCAGTTAGATAATGACTGATAGTTAAGTAGAATCACAAGTTTATTGTATCGGTACTTTGATCAGCTGAACCAGAGGTCCTCCATGCTTCCTAAAAACCTGTTTCATCAGAACCGGAACATGTTAAGGGTATAACGTCAGTCATCTGAAACATTAAGAGTTAAATAGTGTCAGATGTGCTGAGCATTTTCAGTTTTTATACTTGATTTTAAAGTAAGTACAGAGTTCTGTAGTGTCAGTTGTTAATGTCACAGTGTGAGGATGAGGATTTTGATGTATTTTCTTGCTGTTTATGTTGGGTTGCCAACTCTCCAGAATTTGAAGGTAATTTACCAGGATATTGCCATGAGCAATCCTGGAGTCTATTAGATAAATTACCCATTATTGTTGAATGCTTTTGTTGTAGAAATGACCTTGCAAAGGGTGGGAAAAATCAGATTGGGAGCATATCACTGGATTGTAATGAAATATCTCTTGCTGACTAAATGAAACTAGGTTATCCAAAGTACTGATGATGTAGAGGGCTACCTGTGTGGGACAGGAAGGGGACAGATAAAAACTATTTGTGGCAACTGATCAATTTGATTGCAATTGACCACAGAATGTACTTGAACACTGTGAATTCAGTCATTTAATTCAAATCAGGGGCAGGTTACACAATATTGAATTATCTTATAGTATTAAAGTACAGATTACTCATTCAATATTCATTTTTAAAGTGGAGTAGGGTGAAAAAGTGTCAGGTGTTTGGGCACTAAATAGCTTGACAATTCTTCAATGCAGTGTACTGCAAGATTGCCAGCATGTGAAACATATGGTCAGCCCAAGTTATTGGGTTGAAGTTGTGTGACAGTGCTGTGGTAAAGTAGGTTCTTGTGAAGCATTCGTAATACAAGACATAGTTAGTTGTATTGAACTTCTCTCTGTACAAATACCAGTTTCCCAGAAATTAATTAAATTATCCAGTTGAGTAAGTAACCAACAAATTCTAATCCTGGAAGTTATTTAGTAAAAACAGTCCCATCATCTTATTATCAGCTTCTGTTACTTAAGAAACATTTACTTAAGAAATGCTAACGATGACGCAAACCATAAAACACTTTTGAACTTACAAAATGTTTAGTGAAATGAACGGAAGGAAAACACACAAAATTGCTGCTTCTTTAGGTTGATACAAAATTTAACACAATTGACAAAAACCTTTTGACAACGTATGATTCCATTCAACAGGTTAACTTTTAACCCTGAAATCTTGCTATGCAGACTGTGCATTTGTGACACTTTATTGCCAATAACAAGGCATCCTATATCCAGTGTTTGAAAGTGAAGAATGCTTGAAGTTCTGTATCTTCGATGGATTTATCATGGATTCCTGCATAGACTTTCATCAAAAGCTCGTTCTTCATTTTCCGGTCAAGGGTGTTGATGTAGTTATCAATGGAAGCTGCAAAGCATTGCAAACATTACATAGAAGACACGGGCATATGATAACAAGTTACTGTTAGTACAAACTGAATCTAAATGAGTGTATATTAATTTTTTGGATTTTCTCCTAATTGTAAAGTGGGTAAAGGTTAAACTTTAATTATTCCTGTCTGTTAATTAGGTGTACTGTTTTTCATATTTCTGTAACTTAGCTTTGACAGCTTTAATATATTAACATGCCCTCGTAACTATTCTGCTGAACTGTCTCATTATTTAATCGTGTATACGTAGTGGCATGAATCAGTGTGCTGTGGATCATGCTTTCGAAGTAACTTGGCAGTAGCCATTTTATACAGAACTCTTCTTTATGAAGTCTTAAATGATAACTAATACTGTCTAATCTGCTGTTCTCGTTTGCTATCGTAAGGTCGTCAGCCAGGTCGTCCTTCTAGAATGAGTTCCCTGATTGGGGATGTTAATCTGGTCCAATCAGGGAGCTCTGGCTGACATAAGGACAGCAGTGTGAGTGGTACTGCTCACTCTGGGAGCTGGCTGTGAGGGAGCTCGATCAATGTCAAGGCCTCTCCATGTGTAAATAAAGGGTGACTTGGAGATGGCATACCAGCCTCTGTAGAGTTATTTCTGATATGTCACTGGAACAAACTATATTATGAAGCATTGCAGAGAATTCTGAAATAAAACATCCCCTAGCTTTCTGTGATGTGCAGGTTTAAAAAAAACCTGATAGAGAAAGAAAATAATATGGCTCCTTTTAAATTAGAGGATCAGGTAATAGTGCAAGAGAATGAATTGCCTCTTAGTAAACCCATCCTATGTGTTTCTTCATAACCAAATGAATTATGTAGATTTAAACTGCTGCACGTTTTTTTTTTCCTGTAATAACATGGGTGTCATTGGCAAGGATCCTTAATTGTCCTCGAACTGATGATTTGCCAGGCCATTTCAGAGGCAACCCCATTGCTGAGAGTCTGGAGTCACATGTGGGGCAGATTGGTTTAAGATTTCCTTCCCTAAAGGACATCAGTGAACCAGATAGGTTTTTACTAAACTCTGTGATGGTTTAATTACTGAGCCTAGCTTTTGACTTCAGATTTTATTTATTGAATTTAAATTTTACCAGCTGTGATGGTGGGAATTAAATTCATGTCTCTATTGGCCTCTGGATTATTAG